AAAAAGGTAATCGAGAGTACCATTTTTGGGAAGAAATCAACCAAAAATTCAAGAATCTACGACAAGGGGGCGCAATGGAGATGAACAATGATCGATTTCGAATAGCTGCGAATTTGTGAGGAGGCGACAGAGAAAGACTCGTGATTCGTTGGATGTGTTTTTCACACGTTCTGTATTTTGGTGTCTGGTTTAATCAATCTACGGGTCAATTATTTTTAAAAGGAAAATGAGTGAGAGCACTAATTAGTGTTATCACTAATGATGTGGCAGTGGGCCTTACCATGAATGATTTGATGTTTTGACCTTAGTGCTGTATTTTTTTTCTTTTTTTATTGAGTGTCATGTCATTAGTGGTCTTTTTAGAGCTCCAAAATTAGTGGTCTCTATCATTGTTGTTTTTAAAAAGTAAAAAAAAAAAAACTAAAACTAGAATATAAGAAAAATTATAAAAAATAAAAGAAAATTTTAATAAAATAAATCAGTGTGTTTGGTTTCAATTTTTTGGATTCAATTTTTTTTAAATTAAATTATTTGTTTTTGTGTTTTTTTAATTTTTAGTGAATATTTTTAAAATTTTAAGTAATTTTTTATTTTTTTAGATGCACCTTACTTAAATGTATCTAAAAATAAAATATTTGTAAAAAAATAGGAGATCTGTTTTAAAGTCCCTAATATTAAGATTTTATAATATGAAGGATACTCAATATTTTCATAATGTTTAAGGTCTCCCAACATTGATCCACAGAAAATTCGATCCAGAAAATTTCTTTATATTTTGACTAATTTTCTCTGGTTTGCTTATAATTTTCTGTGTATTTTTTTTATCAAACCTGAGAAAATTGAACAAACATCATTTTCATTATGACCAATTTTCTCCAGACTGTAAGACATTCATGCTGTGTTTGGTTGGGGGATTTAGAGAGGGATTTGGAAAGGGAAATGGAAAAGGTAGGTGAAATGTGAATAAAACATACCTATATTTCACCTAATTTCACACACCTTTTCCCTTTCCCTTTCCAAATCTCTCCTCAAATCCCCCAACCAAACACAGCATCAGACTACAACAAACTAGAGAAAATTGAACAACCACTATTTTCATTTTGACCACTTTTCTCCGAACTGTAAGACATTCAGACTACAACAAACTAGAGAAAATTCAACAACCACTATTTTCATTTTGACCAATTTTCTCTGGATGGTAAGACATTCAGACAACATCAAACCAGAAAAAATTGAACAATCACTATTTTCATTTTGACCAATTTTCTCTGAACTATAAGACATTTGGACAGCAACAAATCAAAGAAAATTAAACAACCACTATTTTCACCAATTTTCTCTGGACTGTAAGACATTCGAACAACAGGTGCACCAATGTTGATCGAAACGATCTTGCTTCCAGTGTACGCATCAAATTTTGCACATACAAATAGAGCAAATGAGAGTTACCTCGTCACTGAAAGTATTATCGTAGAGTAACAAAAATACACATAGTGGTCAAAATTCAGAGAAAATACACGCAGTGAACAACTAGAGAAAATTCATACAGTAGCCAAAATACATAGAAAATTCACGCAATGGCCAAATCCAGAGAAAATTTACACAATGGCCAAACCAATAGAAAATATTATTATTATTATTATTATTATTATTATTATTGTCAATTAATAGACCCAAAATTAATCACCAACCATACCCAATTCCCCGAATTTTCATAGATATAGAATTTCATCAAAGTTATAGATCTTCTTTAATTGGAAGCCATAAGAATAGCTAACCTTGACATCAACAAATCGTAAAAGTTATAAATCACAAGATACATATATATGTGGTGTACGAGTGGTATAGAAATTATATATAGAGAGAGGGAGAGAGAGAGAGAAATGAACTCGCCTTAGAATGAGGAGGAAAATGGCCGATCAACATTCGGATCGCCCTAACTTTGAAGATTGCAAAGAAATGAACTCACCCTAGAATGAGGAGGAAACTAGCCAATCAGCATTCGGATTGCCTGATTTTGAAGATTGCAGAAAAAGAAAGTCAAATTTCTTTATGATATATTGGTGTAGTATGTAGGATTGAAGGACCTTAGACATCATAAAATAATATTGTGGATATTTTCCATTACTAAAAGTGAGAGAGGGATCTTAGACTAATTTTTCCTAAGATGGTAAGTTGATAGAATTAAAGAATAAACAAGAAATTATCAAATTTTATGTACTCAAGTAGATTGAACATACAAAATGACAATAATAAATTTGGTAAATTACACTAACACCCCATGAGATTTATGTTTATTACAATTCTCCCCCTCACATTTGGAAAATTACACTGACCTCCTTTGGTAGTGTAATTATTTGACGGTGTCAATTTTTAAGTTAAAATGACATATTTACCCTTAATCTTTACATATACTTTAAAGGGTAAATTACATTGACACCCTCTGAGATTTCAATTTAATACGAATCACCCTTGGCATTTAAAAAAAAAAACTAATTTAATAAAAATAAATATGAAGAAATATCTTTAATTTGTAAAAAATTATTTCTAACCCCTCAAAAGATAAAAATTATATAAAAATGATAATTATTTTTTATTTTTTATTTCTTAACCAAATTAATTTTTTATTTTTAAAATTTTTATTAAAAAATCAAACCATACATAACCTAAGAATCTTTTGATAAGTTATTTCTTACGTTGGTAACTTATTTAATTATTTGTTAATTTTATAACATTTTTACCATCTGAAGCCTGCTTGGTAACCATTTCGTTTTTAGTTTTCAATTTATATTTACAAAAATTTTAAAAACTGTCATAAAAACTTATTTGATAATTTTTTTGTTTATAAATAGTTGTCTCAGTTTGTAAATTTGAGAAAAAAATATAAATTCAAAAAATGAGTTTACGTTGATTTTTAATTAGAAATTTAAAAATTTGACTAACAAATTTTTGTTTTCAATGATTTTTTTTTCCAACTAATACTAACCGAGAGGGCAATTGGTAATGCTACTTTAAACCTTGAGGAGGGGATTGTAATTTTTAAAATGCGAGGGGTGTCAATGTAATTTATTCACTGAGGGTAAAATTGGTATATAAAAAAATTAAATTGCTGACATCAACAAAATCTGTTAGTTGACTTAATAGTCAACTAACTGAGGGAACAATCTGTAATGAAATTTTAAATTTCATAGAAGGGATGTAATTTTCAAAAAGTGAGGAGGAAATTGTAATAAACATAAATATCAGGGTGTGTCAATGTAATTTATCCTATTAAATTTAAATAAAATAAAATTGGGCTATAAATATATTTTGTGTAAATTTATATTGAATTTAATAATTAAAATATTATTTTTTTCTCCAGTTTTACCCAATAAGAATAGACAAATAATTTAGGTTAAAAAAATTTATATTTAAATTAATAAAATTAAAATTTTAATATTTATTTTTTTACAAATGTGTGTGAGATTTTTTACATAATTTCCTCTTTCTTTTTCATTTTTCACCAAATTACTCTATTAAAACAATCAAACAAACAAACAGGCGGACATGCCCTAAAATCCAGCGACTGTACCGATGGTTTTCCGAAAGTTCAAAAATTGGACCGTTGGCCGAAGCAATCCTATCGATCAAAATGAAGTGTGTAAAAAAATAAAAAATAAAAAAAATTAAAATTTATGTTGGAAAATTAAATAAAAAAAAAAAAGGGGTTTGAACATTGTAGCAAAATAAATCCTGAGTTTTTAATTTTTTCAATTTAATCCCTAATTTTTTAATTGTTTTTAATTTTGTTGGAAAAATTGTATTTTAGTTACAAAATTCAATGGAAATTGGTGTTTTAGACATTTTCTGTGCACCTCCATTAAGTTTAATGACTAAAATAAACTTTTTTTTTGTGGCAATTTTACTTAACCAAAATAAGCAGATGATTTAGATTGAAACCACATAAAAAATTAATGTTTAAATTGATAAAATTAAAATCTCAACTTACCAAAAAAAATAAATAAAATAAATCTCAGGTTTATTTTGTTACAAGGTTCATACCCAGTATGTAACTTCAAATTTATTGTCAACAATGAACGTTTGTGCCATTTTTTCTTGTAATAAAAACATTTTGGTGCTGTTTGGTAACCGTTTACAATTTACTTGTTTTTGTTTATTGAAAAAGTTGGACATGTTTATTTTTATGTTTATTTTTGAAAAAATAAAACAAAAAACATATTTGGTATCCACATGTGTTTTAAAAATCTATTTTGAAAATAAGTGAGAAGTTGTCTGCTGTCGGTGGTAGTTGCCAGCAGGAGGTGGTGGTTTGAGGTTATTGTCGGCTGGAGGTGGTGGTTGGAGTTGATTTTCAATGACTAAAGGTGGTTGCCGACGGCCAAAGGTGGTTATTGGTCGCCAGAGGTGGTTGCCGAAGGTCACTAGTGATAGTGGTTGGAGGAAGTCACTGGCGATAGTGGTTGGGGATGGGGATGGCTGGTGATGGTAATGAGCGGTGGTTGGTGGTTGGAGGGAGTGTGAGAGGAAAGAAGAAATGAAAATATACATTCTAAATAAATGAACCCAACTTTAGTTTTTTTGGTTACAAAAATTTCGAAATTTTATGAATTGCTTACAATGTTTTGAAAACGAAAATAGACACCAAAAAGTATTTGTTTATAGTTTTTAAATTTTTTATGAACATAAACATAAAACTGTAATTATGATAGTTACCAAACACGACCTCTACTTTTGGTTTGAATTTCCAGGATTTTCAGATCTTATGTTCTATTTGAGGTAATTAACTAAAGAAATCATAACCCTATCAGTTTGTGCTGTAACTCATTGCTCTAGTGTTCAAGACTATTCTATAAACCTTTCCTAGTTGCCATTTCTAATTAGTTTTGTGGATGTTATAGTTAAATTGTTGGATTACTGCTATTTTAATGATGTTAGTTTAAAAGAATCATTTTTTTTTTTTGAATTTTTATTTTTATTTTTATTACTTTCTTTTACTTTTGGGGAAAATATGAAAATGCACACTTTTCAGATACCATTTAAGCCCCCACTATCACTGTGCAGTCCTTTTCTGAGACGAGCGTACAACGCCAACTGCAACCGCAGCAATCAATCGTTCACTTCCACAACTCCTAAACTACTGCCCTGCACATGAGGCTACTCTGTACTGCTTTTGCGACAACCAGGTATACCTCCCTTCCACCCCTTGTTTTTCTTTTCTTTTCTTTTTTAACATAAGATGGTCTGTTGGGCTTCTTTTTTTTTTTCTTTTTCTTTTTCTTTTTTTCTTTTGTTTTCCCTTTATTTATGTTTTATACGAATCAATTCTCAATCTGTAACCATAACTGTGCCATGATTGTAATTTTTGATTGAGTTTAAATTATTTATGTCTGTGTCGTAAATTCTTGGTTTACGGTTAACCAATAAAAGAATGCCACAGCAGCTAATTCATGGGCTACATAAAAAAGCACTATATTCCCTGTTTCTCTCCCTTACCCTGTCTTCCTTCCTATCTGGTTTCCTTCACTATAGACCCCCTCCCCTAGTAAACCCCTCTCCCTCATCCAGCTACTGAGACTGAATTTCTCCTTTGGGCCTCCAAGAGATCCATACGTGAATGTCAGGATGGTGATATCTCTTTTGTTTGTCCATGAATACAGATACTTTGATCTGCAATATACAAAGAAATAGGTAGAGACCAACTATTTGGTGTTATCAAATATTTGAAAGATCAATAGGAGATCATGTCCTTCCCATCTGAAGTTTCACATGTCCAACAACCACCACAAAAACATAGTTCCACATGTCCAACAACCACCACAAAAACATAGTACCATGAGTAAAATGTTGGTACTGGGTAGGACATAGACGTAGGCAGGTTTGGTTGCTGGTGCCTTTTTGTTTGATGTAGTTGGTTTGGTTGGAGAGGAATCGATGTACATTTCAAGAGATTTATCATGATGTGTCGTGGCTTGAGAATCGGTTGTTAGTTACTTTTTATAATTGATTGGAGAGAAGGGTGGATCAGGATTTGTTTGCTTTTTAGAATTTTTGGGTGATGTTATTGGGTAGGCGTGTTAGTTTCTTTTTGAGCTTTTGCATTCTTGTATTCTTTGCATCGCCTTGATGCTCTTTCAATAAAGGTTTCTTATTTATCCACTAAAAAAACAAAAAACAAAAAAATGTTGGTATCGGGAAGAGGAAGTGAGGTGATGGTGGTTGATGGAAGGGGCTAGGAAGGGGGAGGAAATGGTGGTGGGAGACGGTGGCGGTGGTCAGTGGTTGGGATTGGAGAAAGAGGAAAGGGAGGCAGGGAGGCAAAGAAACATGGGAGAAGGGAAAGGAGAGGAGGTGGTCAAATGAGGGAAGATATATGTAGGTGGGTGAAAAGTTCTTGGTGAGTTTCATCAACTGACCAATGTGGCACTTTATGATTTGCTACCCATAAACATGTGACTTTACGGGAAAGCCATGAGGAAGTTAAATCTTTTTTATTTTAAAAAAAACAAAGGAACGAATAGTCACCCTCTCTCTAATCTCCCATTCTCTCTAATTGAGCTCAAATTTTTTGGATTTACTTAACAAAAAAGAAAAGATGCTGATGCATATGTTTGAGGCGCACAACTGTTACCTTAGTTTTCGGCATGTTTCTGATTACTTAACCTCATTTTCCATGTTGTGTACATGACAAAAAAAGAAAAAAAAAGAAAAAGAAAAGAGAGGAAGAGAGTTAAAAAAGAAGAAGAAGAAGTTGTGTGCCACATATATCAAGCAGTTAGGGTTTTTTGCTTTAATAATTGCTCATTAAACGACGTTAGGATGATAGCCATTGTTCTTGGAACGGTTCATTTGTCTGAACATAGGTGCAATTCTATTTAAGTGAAACTTTAAAATGTGGTGAAGAGGATAAGGAAACAAAAGTTGCTAGTTAGTCTAAATAAATTCAGTCTGGTTAACTTTTTGTTTCCTTTGATTTAAACTTTTATTTTGAATTGCTATTATTCTTAAATTTAGAAGGATGTGGATTTTTTTTTTTATGAAAATGGTAGGAGAAGATGATAAATATATACTTTTTCATAATTACAAATGAACTATATTAGAATTCTCAAACCATTTTATTATGCATCACATCATATTCCAATGATGCTTTTATTTTCCACCTGTTTGAAATGTTTGGTTGGGCTTGTTTTGTACATGCCAGAGTACTTGCATTCTCCAATGGAGACTAGGACGGACATAAACGTGACCAACAAATCCCCATCTTTTGGCTCTCTTCTTCAGTGGAGCCAATGGCAATTGCTGGATTCTATTCTCCCAACAGGTGGCTTTGCTCATTCTTTCGGTCTCGAGGCAGCAGTTCAAGCTCGTATAGTCTCTGGTCCTGAAGATCTACGTACTTACGTGATCCACTTGTTGGAAAATACAGGTAGCCTTCTTCTTCCATTCATTTATTCTGGAACCATCTCTCCCGATATGCAAACCTGGCATAGACTAGACAAAATGTTGGAAGCGACACTGACAAATGAAGTGGGTCGTAAGGCATCGATTTCACAAGGATCAGCACTTATGAGAGTGGCTTCGGCTGTATTTTCAGAAATCCCGTCTCTGAAGATAATGAGAGAAACATCTTTAGCTACTGGCAGTGTTGCTTTCCACCACGCTCCCATTTTTGGGCTCGTATGTGGACTTCTTGGATTTGATTGTGAAATTTCCCAGAAGGCTTACATGTTTATAACGATGAGAGATATAATCTCTGCTGCCACTAGGCTAAATTTGGTTGGCCCGTTAGGTGCAGCCGTATTGCAGCATCAGATTGCCCTTGTTGCGGAAGATTTGTCAAACAAATGGATGAACCGTAAGGTTGAGGACGCGTGTCAAACGGCCCCTTTACTTGATACAGTGCAGGGTTGCCATGGATACTTATTTTCTAGGTTGTTCAGTTCTTGAATGGCTGGAATAAGGTGTATGAACAATTTTCATGGTCTAAGAGCTACTGCTAGCGCCCTCTTGGATTCAAAGCAAATCGTTTTGAGTTTTAGCCTAAACCAATAGACGATTTGTTGAACAAATGATGAATATTTTCTTAGCATCTCAAATATCTGATTACTTTGGTTGATTTGATTTTGTTATGTAACAAAAAGATACTCAGAAGCATGTTGTTGTTTTCTCTCACATATGCGCATATACACAATTTGATGGTTGAAAATTGATATGAAAAGCTTCATATTTTATAATGGTGATTTTATTTGGAATATATCTTCGTGATTTCTTTTGTGGCGAAGATTTTATCTAATAAGTGAAGATTTACTTATTGAACAATACTATACATAAATACACTTAAGAATAGTCATTCTTATGATATTCTCGATATGAAACATTTTGTACTTCGGCATGTTATACTTCTATTTTTAACTCTCATTACTAGTTATTTCTTCATTATAAATTTTTGGGTATGTAATAGTTCCACCACTCGAACAAATTATTCTATAAAATGGTATTGATGGGAAGAAATCTATTAAACCAATCACTTCCGCTCACATAAATAAACACAAAATATGATTCAAAATGTTTATAGATTACAAATATTTTATCTCACATCTGTATATTCTGCGTGTGGTACTTCTTGACATTTGTATATTCTTCTTGACATTTGTATATTCTGCGTATGGTACCCCGTGCAAGTAAATTTTTTCTTAAATCTTAAGCAAATGGGGCACACAATCCTAGGTTTAAGAAGGCCTTGGTAACCAAGTTATTCTGCCCCCCAAGGTAAAACAACTTGAACCCTGTAAAAACAAAATCTAACGTTTTGCATGCCGGCCAAAGCTAACAAACCCATCACATACAAGCATAATATAAATTCTAAACGAGTATGCTATGATATCAAGAGAGAAAAAAAACAGAAAGACCTTATGTTGAAACTGAAAGCAGTAATATTGGAGACTACGATATGGCAATGATTTCTAAGCACACACAAGCGGAGATTGACTAATCCAAAGAAATCCATCAAACTATCTTCCACAACCAAAACCACCCCCGAAAACAAAATAAACACAACATTCAAACAAAACAAACATAAGACTTTCATAGTTCTGGTAACCATGAAATTGTCCCTCAACAACCCTTCAAAATCAAAGACAACTTTGACAAATTAAATATGAAAAAGTGTGCAAGAAGTTTGAAATTCTAAAGGCATTCAAAGATTTTCAGAAAGTTCACAGGCCGTAGACATGTCATCCCATGAACAAGACCCACAACCACGTTTTTGGCAAGATGAATCAGATACAGACATAGTGCTAATTTGCTTGCAGTCACCATTGAAATCTTCACCAAGAAGTGTGCCTCTAGTATCATTCAGAACGGAATGTTCCCTACCTCGCTCAGTACTATGACCAAACCAATTTGAGGCAAGTAAGAAATCAGGCCTCAAGAACATCATCTGATTTGCATTTTCTTCATTTACATCACATTTCGTTGTAACCCAGTCAACTGCTTCTTGCTTCGCTAGACATTCTTCATAAAACCACAAAAATCAATTAATATATTACACATGAAAAAGGATATGAGATACAGACACAATATGATACAGATACAAAAAACCTTTAAAAATTAAGAAACTGCACGGCTAAGATACAATTGAAAAAGAAATATTTTTTTAAAATTTTAGTAGAGCAAGTACAACGTGTGCTCAAGAATGATGAGAAGCATACTACAAATCTTGAAATACAAAATACAAATCATTAGGACTTAAGTTCTAGTTTAAGTCACTAGCTGGTTCACTTTTTCAATTTTCAATACATCTTGCAAATATTTCAATAACAAAACAATCCACAACTTGTCCATGTGTTTTTTCCTTTCACACTAGTGTTAAATATAAAAACACTGCATGCAAAATTACTTGCTTATTTAATTATTGACATTTAATTTTACGATCATTATATTCTCTTGTTAATTTCTATGAAGTAATGGTAGATATGCATGATATGATAAGGATATGCTAGTTCGACAATTCTATTACTTTAACTCACCATGTTCTTTTTATCAAAGAAGCAAGCAAAGTATTGAAAAAATATTATTGTATTTATCCTCACAATTATACTATAATGTTATGCAAGAAATGTTACAATTCCAATTTCATAAAAGTTTTAATGCGTGATTTAGGGTAGCTGATACTTCAAAATGAAGTATCCATTTTGAAGTATTGGATACTTTTAAGACGTATCAATACGGACACGATACGGATATGTCTCCCTTCTAAAAGTATCCATGCTTCATAGCAAGCCAAACTTCATCCAAAAAAGTCAATGCAACAAAAAAAATAAAAAATTACTCACCTGGAAAGATCTCAACTGAATGGGGTTCGTCGAAGGAGGATCCGCTGATAGGAGTACACTCGCTGAATACTGATGAAGTAGAATGACCAAGAGGAGAGATTGGGTCACTATGAATTTCCCATTGTGTCTCGCGGAGATTCTGAGACAAGCTGTCCATTGCATCGCCAGCCACAACAGAAACATTCGAAGTCAGGTCGCAAAAACTGTTCTTTGAGCTCTTCAAAGTATGCGATTCATAAAGTACTGCTTCCAGCAGACCACTGTTCCGTCTAGAAAGAGAATCCGACTGTGCTTGCTCAGTCGAGGGGGACTGAATAAGAGTACTGACAGAGTCAAGGGATGGCAGTGGGGACGATGGTGTTCCTGTTTCCCAGCTACCTACTTGAGCATCTGAATATTGGAGTGAAGGGAGCTCCGGATTCATAGCCCAAGGCATGGGCTCCGAAGAAGAGAAATTGCCATTTAAAAGGGCATGGCTGCCAGGAAGTATGGATGAGGACAATTGGGTAATTTTCTCACAACCATCATCCGGGTATTGATCAAATGCCCGGAAATAATCAGCAGTGCTACTATTGACACAAGGAATCAGGCACTCAGATTCCCGGGATTCCCGAAAGCGTTTTGGTGGATGCAACATTGAGAACATCAAGCTATCACTATGGGAAGAACCAAGACCTTGTGCTAGTAAGCCACTTGCAGGAATATCGGGAAGTGCTGGCGAATACAACTGTTGGTCGAGTTCCAAATTTTTGAATTCCACAAGAGGAATTTCAAAGCTATTTGTTGACAAGAGATCAGGATGGTGTGTTTCCACCATTGGGAATGTACCCATGTTCTGACACTGTTGATTCTCATGCAATGCTTGAGATATATCAGGAGGGTAAATCGGTAAGCCAGCACGGTGCCGTCTCTTGATTCTCGTATTCCAGTAGTTCTTTATCTCATTATCCGTCCGTCCAGGCATCTGACAAGGGAGAGTAGAATCAAATTAGAAAAGCAGTTGAGCAGAAAAGCAAGAAACTAATGCTTCATTTATTTTGGCGGAAAGCATAATCAGGAAAGGAAATGCATCCTCACTACTCGTTAAAGCTGCAAAATGATTGTAATATTGGTAATTTGTTGAGCTCAAAATTTCACATGAAACGGTAACTAATGGGTGGTGTATACAAACCCCCCCTCCAATATATAATTTTTATACCCCAAACATAAAAATAAAATTAAATAAAATAAGTAAAGAACAAAAAAATATAGAAAAAGTCCAAAAAGAGAAAGAAGAAAAGGAAAATCCACTTATTCGTCAGGCTTACACTAATAAATTTATAGATTTTCATTAGCAAAAATTTGTAAATACTGGTGCTGCAAGCAGATGATGGGTTTTCCTGTACGACATTCAAGTTGACCTTTCTAAAACAAAGATAAAATGATATGGTTTTAAAAAGGAAAAGAAGAAAATTCAATTCAATTCATTTTAAAAAATAAATGACATCTTTGTATAGTTTAGTACCATTGCTTTGGATGTGCTATGAATCATAGTTATTTTTAGAGCACTACACTAGTCAAGCAAGTGCATTACCTTTAGATAATAAAGATGGCATGGCTACAATCGGTCACAGAAAAGTTTAACTGTTTTTCTTCTTATTTGAAGATTATAAAATTCATCATTAGCAGTATTGATCATTTTATGATGAGACACAGCAGAAGTGTGACTTTTGAAGAGGAATTTCCTTAAGTAGCTTTACCTGATATAAAACAGCACCCTATCCCATCTGGCTTCATCATCTCACAATGGATTTATTACTCCATATTTTAGGGTTTTAGTTAGGTTCACCAATTTCATATTACCGCACATGTAACACTTAGGCTGTGTTTGTATCATGGATTTGAGGAGGAATTTGCAAAGGGAAATGAAAAGAAAAGGCAAAAGTTTAAAGGAAAACCAAAAAATAAAAAAAAATTACCCTATATTTCATTCACTTTTCCTTTCTCTTCGCAAATCTCTCTCCCAAATCTATGATCAAAACACAGCCTTAATGAATTCGGAATTAGGATGGAAATGGCAAAATTTTATGAAAGGCAGCCAACGCAAACTTTCTTAGAATGCAAAAACAATGGCATATTAATTATTATGAAGAAACTACAAAGGGAATTTTTAAGGAATTTCATTTAAATAAATTTCAAGATATCTCGAGAAAAGATTTGTTACGTAATATGACTAAATAAGAAATAACAATTCCGATATGACACCAACTATGAAGCATTGACATGCACACGGGACATGGATACGAAATGACATGACATGGACACGTCGACACGGAAAATTTCAAAAAAGTAGGACACAAACACGGCTCAGACACACCACAAATAATTATACGTTGATATAATATTATCTAATAATATATTATATTATATAGTTATATTTGTGCATAATATATACAAAATTAAATAATTACTTTATACCAAATAAATCTTGTATCTAATTTTCTTACATGAATTTTTAGGCTATTGGATTGGACCATATTAGTTAAAAATTAGACAAACCATAGGAAACATATATAATCGCAACATTTCCCTCATCCTCCTAACCCTATATATACATTTTTTTTAAAGAATTATATATTATGTTATTCTTAAGAATTATACATTGTTTTTAAGAATATAAGATATTTATGTCAAATTCAACTTTGAAAATCATACGGTAGTAGATATCAAACTGTTGGTCTCATGTTTATATTTTTAGTGATAGACATGGCCAAGAAGTGATGGACACATCGTAAAACGAGTGTTGGGCACATATCCGAAATTAATATTTTTAATTTTAATTAGGGACATGGTAGAAAGAGTATCTGACACTTGTCTGAGAGTGTCCGAAGAGTGTCGGTCTCCGACATGTGTCCAACATGGACACGTCGCCTTCTTAGAAGTGTCCGTGATAGCCATGTGGTGTATGAAACTTCAATTTGTGAAGAACTACCATCTTCTATACATTATCAATTTTGATAAACACATCCGAGAAAAACTTTTGACTAACCTAATTGGAGAAGTGTGCATGTTACAAGTAGCCATGCACTAGAATTTGCCTGTTGACAATAAACCAATGTACATGTCTACCTAGACTTTCTATATGTTTCAATTCAAGAGGAAAACAATGTAATGAAGAAATATGGCTCAAAAGGTGCAAAATGCAAATCTAAAAGTTATTATGCTAGTGTCATTATGCTTTATTGTGGAGTGTATGAGATAGACAAGGAAAGAACCAAATATTCTCAAAAAGTGACCTCCTTATAAAAGGGTAGTCTTAGGTGCACGAGGCTCCCGCAATGGTAGGGTTTAAGGAGGGTTAGAATTATGCAGCCTTACCTTACATGCAGAGCGGCTTCTGCCAGCGTTATTTAAGGTTAAAGGCAAAACAAGGCGCCCAGATCTCTTGGGACATAGGTGTAAGGCGCGCATGCTTCATCTAAACAAAGCGCATATTATAGATATTGCATAGTATTTATACATACGACAAATTAAATTTATTGTGTGTTTTATCTATCATATACTAACCAATGAAACATTGTATTTTTACATGAGATTATTACCACCTAGCACATTACATCAACAACTTCAAATGAAATAAATTTAAATTAAACAAATTAAAAGTAGTTAAGCAATTATACAATAAAGCAAATAAGTAAACAATTAAATATTTAAACGAATTAAGTAAATAATATATCCAATTAAGTAACTTAACAATAAATACTTTAGATTGCAAATTATTATTTGGCTATTGTCACTGGCCACAAGGGAAAAACTAAAAAAACAAAAGACGATATGCGAGCCAAAATATAAAAGTTTAGGTATTTATCTTCAATTTGTTGTTTAGGGTTGAGACTATCTATTTATTAGGGATAGTATGTCAGCAACATATGCAATTACAATGCGCTCCAGTAGATCACAGGGTTGATATTGCATCTTTAAAAAATTAGGCACAATCGAAAAAGGAGTAAACCTCAGGTGCGCCTCACACCTATGCACACTCCTGCAATAAAATTGGTTTCCGTGGCTTGAACCCATGATGCCCATGTCACAATGGAGCAACCTTATCATTACACCAAGGCCTGCCCTAAAAAGCTCCTCCCAAGAAGATAAGAAGATATTTTTTTTTTCCCCATACTACATCAGTTGTAGCACTTTCCATCTATGTAGTGCATCCTACCTTGATGTCAACATGACATAACAATGCATGGAACCTTAAATTTATTCAATGCATTCAAAGGAAAGGGGAAAAAAGAGATCTACAAAACAGATTAAACAATTACAGATAGCTGATGTCAATGTCTGTTTGGTTAAAAATTATTATCTTGAACCAATATTTACCCAAAAAAAGGTAAGGAAGAACTATTCCAGAAACTATACCACTACTACAAAATGCATGGCACTAAATTTAACCAAAATATTCCCATGTTAACGTCACTAGAAATATATGAAGATATAATATTAAAGATATTACTAAACGAGAAATCATAATGAAACATTGATACACACCTCTGCAGCCATGCGAGCCCATTTGTTTCCCATCTTGGCATGTAGTTCAATGATTGTCTTTTCTTCATCTGGGGTGAATGCACCTTTTCTCAAATCTGGCCTAAGATGATTTGCCCAACGTAGACGACAACTTTTCCCACAGCGAGAGAGTCCTGAGTGCTTCTGGACAGCATTCCAGTTCCCCTCTCCATGCCTGTTAACATAATCCACCAAAATTGCATCTTCTGCCGATGTCCAGGGGCCTTTCTTCAACAGACCACCACCACCCAATTTTCCTATGCTGCTAGCTTCTTCAACAGATGGTGAATCCATGCAATCCTCGGACATCTTATCTTCACTATCACTTGTCATATTGCTAATCTCCTAAAGGCTGATACAAAAATCAAAAAAATCAAAACACTGCAGTACAGCTCCAAAGAATCAATGCTGTGTAAGTACTAAATAGGCGGAACCAGTAAAATTGAGAAGCAATCATTGAGACTAAGAATTGGTGTAAAAACTGCATGGCATATACAGTTGAGCAATTGACTAATAACAGTAAGGGAAAATTTCATTTTACCCCATGGTACAGGGCCATGAGCCCATATCCCCTTATTATTTGGAAATAACCACTTAACTACCTATGGTTTGTGGACTAAAACGAACCATCACATTTTCCATCCAAATTAAAGGAAAATCCATTACACATACCTATATCTCAAAATAACTAGAATTATGTGCACATAACCTATCACACAGGAGCTAAAGTGAAGGGTTTATTTCAAAGGAGAGGTATAAAATGAGGGTATTTAGGTCAGTTTACAAGTTGTTAGTCTACAAACCATAAAGTTAAGTGATTATTTCCAAATGCCAGAAGGCTATGCATACATAAGGTGAAATTTTCCCTAACAATAAAAGAACATAGCCTCATTGTGTAAAAAGCAAAACATAAATTACATTTCAAGAAAAACCCATAAAGCTTAACATCAGTGGTGCACAATTAACAAAATTGCAAATTCATCGTTGAAATAAAATTAGAATTAGTAAGAACGTAAAACCAACCCAATCCATGTACAAAATCACCAAAAAAAGTAGCATAACAACTATTTCAACCTATCTTTCTAGCAGTTTAGTGATCCAAAACACTATAGCATTGTCCGGTTACAAGATTTCTGCATTCGTATTGGAGAGCAAAATCTGGTTTAGGTTGTTGCCAAAAGAAAAATAAAAAATAAAAAAAAGAAAGAAAGAAAGAAAGAAAGAAATTTCTGCAATTACAAAGTAGTAGTAACTAATTTTGTTAACAAATACATATACAGCATAAGGGAATGTTTTACCCCGAATGGAAGTTGCAAAATTAAAATAAATTATCAAAAGCTCATTATGCTTTCCAAGATTCCTCTTCCCACCAAAATCCAATCCCAATTTATGTTTCTCACAGCATATGCTATTCTTAGATAGTACCACAACACAATCTTATATAGATTATAGAAAACCAAAAACTTTTGAAAATGTGACTTACACAAATATAAGTAAATAAAATTTCCCAAGTAACCAAATTTTCTAATTCATACCGTCTAATTCAATAATGTAGCATTTATGAACGAATTTAAACCAATTGTAGTGGTAGGGAATTAATTAAAACTCTACAAAACACTACAATCAGTTTAAATTGGTTCGTAAATGCTACATTCTTGAATTAGACTTGTTTCAAGAATTTATTTTTTATATAAGAAAACCAAAAACTTTTGAAAATGTGACTTACATAAATAAATAAATAAAATTTCCTAAGTAACCAAATTATCTAATTGATACCTTCTAATTCAATAATGTGCATTTTTGAATGAATTTAAACTAATTGTAGTGGTAGGGAATTAATTAAGACTCTACAAAACACTACAAGCACTTTAAATTTGTTCATAAATGCTACATTCTTGAATTAGAAAATTTAGTTACTTGTTTCAAGAATTTATTTTTCTTTTCTTATCGGTCGCGTCTTCAAAAATTTCTAGTTTTCTACCTTATCTAAGATTGTGTTGTGGTACTTTATCTAAGAATAGCATCTATTGTGAGAAACACAATTTGGGTTTGGACTTTGGTGAGAGGAGGAATTTTGGGAATCACGATCCTGATCATTGCTTTTAATTTTGTAACTTCCATCAGTCTTCCATTCAGGTAAAATATTCTCCTTACTAAATATATGTATATAACAAAATTAAATACTATTAGTTTGCAATTGCAGAAATTTCTATTATTGCTTATTTTGGCAACAAACTAAACCAGATTTGCTTTCCAATACATTTGAAAAAATTTATAGAATTTAATATAAGCAAATAATTTAGGGTTCAACATAAACAAAATGAAAATATTAAACATTTTAAACATAAATACCAATAAACATCACTATTTTAAAATAGAGAAATGAACAATATTTCAAATTTCAATATAAAATATGAATAAGAAGAGAGGGGAGAACAAGGCTAAGAACAGGAAGGGGGGAGAAGGAAAAAAAAAAGACCAGTCTAGAGAAGGACAAGAGTGGAGAATAAGAATAAGAAGAAGGAAGAAGAAAAAGAAGGCAGCAAAGTGACCAGAACAAAAGAAGGCGGCAGCAACATCACAACCATGTGAAAAAGACGATAGCAACATAGAGAAGAGAAGTAGAGAAGACAACAACGTAGAGAAGAAGAAGAAGAAGACAACAACGTGAAAAAGAAGAAGAAGAAGAGAAGAATTTTTGGAGTTGCTGGACTGGATAACGGAAACGGCAGCATCAAAAGTTCTTCGGAAATTAGAAATTAAGGCTAATTTTTCTTCTATCGTTGATTTGGGGTTAAATGCCCAATGTATTGGCATGTATACTTAAGAGTAGGGATCTGCTATAGCAGCACCATATTATATCAATGGTCAAATTTCAAACAAAACCAATCAAAGCAAAAAAAAAAAAAAAAAAAGCCCTCAAGGCCGCACCTTGGGCCAATCGCGCAACTTAACAAAATTGCCTGGCCTGGAACACTACGAGGCGCAAGCCTTGCGCCTAGATGGGACTTGGGCCTAGGCACACACCTAGTCATGCTTTTAATAACATTTCTACCGTGAGCATTTCTCCAATTGCCACTCTAGTAAGCATGTCTCCATAGCTAGTGTAATTACCTCAACACAATGTGAAGTTGAAAGAGCACAAAAATTGATAATTCCTTTTGTAACTCCTAATCAATATAAATGTAATGTGCTGTGAGACACATGTACCCACGGCTTTGAATGGAAGTCCACAAGTCCACAGTGAGAGAAACCTGTCGAGTTGAACTCCGAAAGATTGCTTTCAAAGTTTTCCTTTCACTTGTATAAATTTATGTAACCTTAGACAATGTGAAATTTTGGTTGCAAGGCAATGACAAACCTTTTAAAACACTCTTTTTTCCACAAAACTAAAAGGTCATCAATGATAATCATACAAGCAAGTTTCCTACGACAATGTTCATGATCAAATTTCTAATTAACAATATGAACTTGACTATTAATTGTTGAGGATAAAAAAAAAAAAATTGTTGGGTTGGGTCCTTGTTATTATTACCCTAATAAGAAAAGCATTGCTAATTGTAAGTGTACTAGTGCCTAAAGCACCTGGACAAACAAATTCACATCCACAATAATTGCAAGTTGCACGTTCTGTTTTACTGTCGGCAGTCCACACTAGAGATTTCGATTTGTAAAGTTCATTGCGCTTACCCACCTTTGATTTTGCTCCACCCACATCTCATCCATTTTCTTTGTGATTTGTGCATCAGTCTCCCCCATTGTGTATGACATAAACTAATACAAGAGTTTCCTACATAATGAAGAAACAATTCAAAAACCAAACAAATCAGAAAGCACTTCATTAATTTCAGAATTTTCTTAAAAAGTTTGAAATGATTTGTTTCTCATAAATCTAGTTTTAGCAGTGTCACAATTATAGTAATTATCAATTCTACATTTGTCAAGAAGAAAGTATACTCTGATTTAGAAACGAAAAGGCCATCATATCTTCTGATTATTACGATGATAATCTCCATTTCTTGTTTATTTGAACAGTCATACGCATAGATGTATATACTCCCTCCGCCCAAATTATTTGTCTGCCACTTTGAGGTTTCTATGAAATGAGGCATGGAAGGGAGCGACTATCAAGAAGTTCCAGGAGTTACGAAGGAAACTCCAAGCTCATATTGGTCATGGGTTGAGAACAGGAATTGAACTCTATGAGATCTTATCTCCCGTAGGTTCCTCAATAGCTCAGTGATAGAGCAGTCGGCTGTTAACTGATTGGTCGTAGCTTCGAATCCTACTTGGGGAGATTTTATTCATTCTTAATCCTTTAATTCAAAATGAAAGAGCTCGCTTTGACGGTTAAGACTAGGTAACCACTTCCCTGTCTTTGTTTCTATTGCATTCTATCTCATTGCATCACGATATTTGATATTTGAGAATCCCCTCGAAAACAATAACTTAAAGTTATTATATTTCTATGTCAAAAAATTTAAATTTTTTTCACCAATTAAAGGATCTCTTTAAATATTTTAATTTGTGAAAAAAAAAGTTAAAATTTTTGACATGAGAATAGATTAATTTAAGTTCACATTTTCTATGTTGGATAAACAATTTGGGACGGAGATAGTACTAATTGTGAGGACCAGAAAACCTTCGAATCAATCAAACAAAAAGCTAGATTTGAACAAACACATAGATAAAGAGTTCCAGAGACTAATTACAAACACAAATACAAATTTATTATGCAGATCTATTCACGAAAACAGTGTACATTGCAATTCACACAGATCTCTACCTCTTTCGAGTCGCAATTGAACGGTGGTGGAGTCGCAGGCTGAGAGACTGCGGTGGAGGTGTCGAGGGCCGAGAGCGGCAGTAGAGATTGAGACAACTCAGATGACAGACGGAGACGTCTCACGGCGGCGGTGGTTACAGTGGTGTCGCCGTCTTCTACAGACGGGGAGAGTCGAGAGAGTCCAGAGGTTTCTCTGAGTGATATATACTTCATTTGTTCATCTAACCAAATCAATCACTCATTGATCTAACGGTTAATAATTTATCAATATTATCTCATTTTTATTATAAAATGAAATATCTAATTTTTATCAATTTTGATTTTTAAAATGTTGTCCAAGCACACACCAAGTTTAAATATATATATATATTAGGAGATTTTTTTTTAAGATCTATAATATTAAGATTTTATAGTATAAAGGACAATTAATATTTTCATAATGTCTAAAATTCCTCAACATCGATTCAGATAAAATTCGATCCAGATAATTTCTCTGGACAAATCACAGAAAAAATTCTAAATTTCTCTGGACAAATCACCGAGAAAATTTCAAATTTCTCTGGACAACAATGAGGACTAGTGCTCTGCTTCAGAGAAAATTAGATTGGTCTAGAGAAATTGTCAAGACCCAAACTCGCCCCTATAAGTTTGGCGTCGTAACCGGCCAGTAATCCGAGATTACCAAAGGTCTTCCTGTATAATAAAAAATAATCGAAACTAGCGGAAGCAATATACAAAAACACCAATAGTCCAATGAGTTGTGCATCTATATGAACAAATATTTATACGCAAAAATGTTAATTCACCCACATTCAGTACATAACTTATAACTTAACATCTTATACATAACATATGCACATAACAAAAATTTATTTCACGATCAAAAGCTTGACAACGGCCTTCCAGGCCTAACCCCAACTCAGAGGCACACAAAACAACTCAATAGGCTTCAAAACGGCGGCTCAGCTAAAGACCTTTTCTAGGCTTGCCCTTCAGAACGCTCACCTATACATATATATATATATATATATATATATAAACAGTGAGCTAAAACCCAGTGAATAATATTAAAGTAAAGGGGTTAGTAAACGAATTCCAAATATATCACATCCGTAAAACAAATTATGACACAATCATTCATATTAGTCTCATATCAGAACATAATATAATGGTACGTCTCACAGAACATATCACATTTCGTCTTTCGACTAGAGTAATCAGTTCCGGATACCGATTAAACACATATCACCACAATGAAGTAGCTAACGAGATCTCGTAATCACATATATGTCATGGACCCGCATTAACATGTCGTCCCCCGTGACTTGGGACTATCTATGGATGCCATAATAGATTTCAAACATAAGATATTCGTTCACGTAAACAAATATCATTTAGGAAATCATAACTTATCAAATCACATTTGGAACATAATTTATATGAACATATCTTTACAATAACGTTACTTACAGTGGGCTTCCAGAACGGTTGATCAAACAGTTCTTGACTCGTGACCTACAATCACAAATATGCATAGCACGATACACAATCCTCTTAAACATGTTTAGTTCACTTATGCTTTTAAAAATGGATGACTAGAATTAAGAATTAATTAGATTATTAATTTCCTTTAATCTCTAATTAAAACACGTTTAGCCATGTATTAACCAAACTAATTAAATATAAGTAATCTAATCATAGACCAATCCTTATTAAGTTCACTAATTACACAATTAAGCCTAAATTAGGCTTATACACATTAAATTACAATTATTCAGTCATATTTAAATTACTGAATCAGAAACTCATAAATATGCACATTTTGCAATTTCAACTCCATTTTCAAGCAAATCAAGGCCCAAATAATTAATCTTCACATTTATTTGCATAATCTTGAGCCCAACTCAATTTCAATTGAATTTAATTAATTCTCAATTAAGGCTTAAGTTGACTACATCTAATTTTATGAACCAAAATCAAATTTTTAATTGAATTCTTATAAAGCTCTAAATATCAAATTAAACCTATTTTTTCATTTTTGAAACTCAATTTCATGAAACATCCATTTTCTTGAACCCAAGCTCTAATTCATGCTTAATTTCTTCTTAAACTCGATGAATCATGTAAGAGAACAAGTATAGAATCAAAAATATACCATGCATGTAAAGATTAGGAGTTAATTTGAATAATTCTTCAATGTTTTCACATGCATGCCCTAAGCTCTCAATTACATGAGCAAATCTCATATTTAAGGACAAATTCAATTCATTTAAACTTATGTCTTGGAAGATAATATGTAATAGAGCTTCAATATCAAGAATTTGGAATAATTTCTTACCTTAATTGATGCTTCAAGACCAAAAATTCAGCTTTCTTATGGTTCCTCTTCTTCTTCCTCCTTTCAATTCTTCGTGAGTTCTTCTCTAGCAAATTCTTACTCTCTCTCTCTACGTGTGGTTCACCAAGGCCACTAACTCTTCATTCTAATTCTTTCTTCTTTATTCAATTGATGAGTATAGAAGAATAAAATACTATTCCACTAACCCTTTAATTCTACATACATAAGGCTTGACTTAATTAGGCTAAGAAATTAATTAAACAAATTAACTTCACTCAAATTAAATTCATCTCATCATCTTATAATCTTAATTAAACTAAATTAAATTATACTAATGTATATTAAGCTCTAATTCCTATTCAATTATTTAATTCCAACCTATTAAAATTAGCGAATCAGACGAAATCAATTTTTTAATTAAACTTCTCGGATAACTTTAAAAATTCCAATTAACATATTCTTGTACTCAATTTTGACTTCTAAACCTATTTATGTCATCAATTTCAGTTTCAAAGCCGAACTCACAACGGATAGTTTCTCAATTTAAACAAATATTTACAATGAATCAAATTAGATAATTCACAATTAATCACTTGGCATATGTCATAATTAAAATTCAATACATAACTAATTACTTATAATTACAATTAACATTTTGGGGTCGTCACAGAAATTCTCTAGTTTGAATTGAATTTTCTCTATATTGAACTCAATTTTCTCTGGGTTGGTCCAGAGAAATTATCTAGTTTGGACTTAATTTTCTCTGATTTAGTCCAGAGAAATTCTCTGGTTTGGATTGAAATTTCTCTGGATTGATTTGAGGGACTTTAGACATTCTCTTCTTGGCATTTCATCAAACACCTTCTTTGCTAAATCCATGTCCCCAACTTTGTGCATATTTTGCATATTTTCAAAACAAGCTTGTGCATAATCAGAATCAAGTATTTTCTTTGATGAAATATGATCATTTGTTCATATTTGGAAAAAAATATAACAAAATTATTTTGAGGATAAGAAATCCATGAATTGAAAGCAACATTCACAATCTGGAAAGATGTGAATTGTGTGTAACTCATTCATAGCATATTTATTACATTGAAGACATGGAATTTAATTGAAGACACTTTTTTTTATCAGCAAAAAAGAAGCTTTATTGATGGAAAAACATAATGAGTATGATAACTTACATTAATAAAGAAGAGGGTGCAAAAAGCATCACAGTGAAACATTCAGATCCTAACTAGGTTGGCACCTAGATGCACACCAAATCATCTGCTAGCACACACTCGAAGCTCCAAGTTGGTGAGAAACCAACATGCAGAGCAAAACAAAACAAAAACAAGCAACGAAAAAAAACACCACAGTCGCCCAGTCTAACAGCAAAAGCAACAAAACACTCCCCTTGAAAGACCATTAATCCAAAACCTCTCTGCTAGAGCATTAGACCACTACCACAACTCCTCTGACTGAGCACAGGTTTGGAACTGCAAATATGTGCTAACCCCTTTGCGCACCAAAGCTAACTCAGGACTGCCATCCTACCTTTGGTAATGCAACTATCCACTACTACAACTATTCCACCAATAACAAATACTCACATCCACTCAACAACATTGACTCCAGGACTATCATCAGCAGCAGTAGGATACCCCAACAGCAGCAGATCATTGATTCTTAATGTAGTCCACATCACGACCTAATCCAATACTTCAATACAGTTGACTTACCTTTCAGCAAATTGTTGATGAGATGAATAATGGTGCATGTTTCCTTCTAAAACTCTAAAGACTATAATTGAATTTAATTGAAGACACTTGATCATTTTTCCTTCTGAAACTCTAAAGACTATAATTGTCCTTAATGTAGTCAGGGAAGCTTACAAAATTACCGCGTGGAAGCCACCCATATAACAATGGTGCATGTTTTGATGACGTCATCTCGTGTTTGCATCTTTGGCCACCATGGCTCGCAACATTCCGGTGACGGCGTGGTAGAGAATGTGCACAAAGAGTGAGGGTTTGGTTTGGATAGAATAAAGATTGGAGAGAGAGAGAGAGTCAAATTTCTTTGATTTGATATATGGGTGTGGGTTTAGGGACCATTGTGGATCTCTTCCATTACTAAAAATGGGAGAGGGACGTAGACTAATTTTCCCTATATATTATTTAGTTCCTATAAAAATTCAAGTTGGGCTTTTTATTTGAGAGCTTTTTTTTTTTTTCTTTTTTTTTGAGAAAATTATTTGAGAGTTTTTATTTATACTATAGATTTAACTGCTTATACCTTTTCATTTTCTTACGTATAACTCTCATGTAAAAACTCAACTCTCAAAATCATTAACCTTAATTTCTCAAACACGCCCTTTAACTAGCGTTGTCTTTGCAACTGTGTTGCTAATGCCATACCCTCTTCTACTTGTTATCCCCCTTGTGAACCACTACAACCCCTTTTCTCAACCATCGCAAACCACCACAACCACTCCACTCTCATAAACCACTGCAACTCACATTTTTTTCTCGCAAACCACTGCAATCACTCCCAAGAACCACCGCAACCCCTTTCCATAACCATCGACCTATCTTGTGCACTACCCCTCCCTACTCATCATTCCCAATGATCCCCGTTAGGTAGCCTCTCAATGAACCACTTCACCCTCGTTTAGTAGTCACTCTTCGAACAAACACGATCTGTTCGGTATCAAAAAATCGAATAAAAACTATTCATTGCTTTGGTTGGCTATATTCGAACATTGAGCATCTGTTCAGCACTATGAAGTTGCACAAAGACAATTGGTTTGACTCTTATAGTTCGCTAATGATCTCTTCTTTTTCTCTTTTCTTTCAAAACCTTTAGTTCTTCCTCCCTTACCTTTTAAAAACCCTAGATTTAAGGTTAGCAAGTGGTGGGAGCAACGCGGTACTAGTTGCTAGAGTGGAGATGGTTGTGATGTGGTGATCACCAGGGTAGTGATAACTACAATGTAGTGGCCGTCAGGGTTAGTAGTGTTGTGAGGGGTAGAAGTTGTAGGTGTTGGACAATCTTCACTGTATTTAAAAGATTTAATTCTATTGTGTACACAACAACAAATAGAATTTTTTTGTAATCAAACAAATTCTCTCCTTTTCTTTATTTCTTTAAATTCTATTTGTTGTTGTGTACACAATAGAATTAAATCTTTTAAATACAGTGAAGATTGTCCAACAGTAGGTTGCTAAGGTGGAAAAAGGTTGTGGAGAGAGTGGATGAGGGCTGGAAAGTGGTGGTTGCAGACAACAACTATGGTGGTTATGGTGGTCGAAAGCGGGTGTGTAAGTTAGGGTTCGAAAAGGTGTGGGGGTATAAAGAGATTTTGAAAGGTTAGCGATGAGGATATATTTGGAATTATGAGGTAAGTAAGGAGATAAAGTGAAGATTTTTGAATTTTTTTTATGGGGTCTAACATTAGTAATTTTTGCATTTCAAAAGCAAAACTAAAAATTTGGTAAAAAAGTGCATATAAAAATATAAATATTTATCAAAATTAACGTCAAAATGTCATAATTTAAAATTTTGCTTTAGGCTTCAAAAAAGATTGGGTCTAGGGGTGCAACTCAGGTAACTTCATTTGGATCCAAACTTGTTTACTGAGCATGATAAATTGAACTCAAGTTAGGTCTTAATTGCCTACAATATTTTTTGAATAGTACTATTTTAACTCAAAAGTTAGATTCAATTTTTGAACTCAATTATGTGACCGTCTATTAGAATGTCTAATGCAACTTTCTCTCTCATGTATTCTTTAATTGTCAGTCAATAATGTCTTTTATACATCTTTGAATCTTAAAAATAAGTTTAGAAAGTGGATTTTTATATCATTTTTTTCTTCTTCTTTTTAATTTATAGCTAGGATGATTAATTAATTAATGTTAGACATTGATTTCTTTAGTAAAACTACCATAGTAAATTTAGATTTATTTTATTCAATATTTCTCATACTCCATTTATATTGTCCCATAAAAATGCTTTTATGATTTTGTAAATCAATTAAAGTAAAAAAAAAATTAAATTTTATTTAACTAAGTTTTTACCTTCAACCAAATAAGGGGTTTAATTTGTTTATGTTATTACACATTCTTCATTCTAAGCTCTTTAACCATGTTAGTTTTTTTGTTACTTTTTTTATTATTTTTATTTTAATTATTGAAACAATTAGGCCACGTTTTAATTTATTTCCAAAACTATCTTAATGTTAAATACATTTTTGAAGTAGAAGTTTATTAAATTTGAAGTGCAAGTATGATGAATTTTCGATTATAAAGAACGCGTATTAACCAATCATCTATATAATAAAGCATGATGATTTTTGAATTTGTCTTACACACATTTGTCCTATTAGGACATTTGAACGGCTCAAATCTATTCAATTTATAAAACAACGGCTGAGATATATTTTTCAAAAAATATCCTACATGTACGTTTTCTATTTTCTTGCTTTTTTCTCTTACTTTTTCCATTTCTCACCCATCCTTTTATGATCTCATGATCCTACCTCCCTCTCTCTTTTATTTTTATTTTTTTATTTTCTCTCATTTTTATTTTTCTCTCTATTTGTTTTATTTTTATTTTTTTTATTTTCTCATTTTTGTTCACTTGTTTTTTATTCATATTATATGGAAAAATCTGCAATCCCAGAATTAGGAGCCAGATTTTACTCTGTGTAGTGGAGATTAAATTAATGAATTTTATAGTCCACAAATTAAATGAATTTGAATAATTAATTATTATTTTTAAATATATTCAATACATGATAGACTTCATAAATTTAGATCTCATATGAATCTTCAACATCTATATAATAATGCAGGATAGTTTTTGAATTTGTCCTACACACATTTGTCCTACTAGGACATTTGAACGGCTCAGATTTATTCAATTTATAAAACAATGGCTGAGATATATTTTTCAAAAAATTCTACATGTATATTTTCTATTTTTCCGCTTCTCTCTCTTACTTTTTCATTTTCTCACCCATCCTTCCATGATCTCACATTCCTCCCTCTTTTCATTTTATTTTTTTTATTTTCTCTCATTTTTATTTTTCTTTATATTCGTTTATTTTTCTATTTTCTCCTTTTTGTTCAATATATTTTACACATATTTCCATACAATATATGTATGCCCGTAAAACACTAGGTCATCACGGGCATACATACAATTTCCATATAATTATTCAATTTCCATATAATTATTTAAGCAAAAGCAGTATTGTATGTATGCCCGTGAAAATTATTTGTATGCCAGATACATCTATGTATCTAGCTATATATTGTATAAACAAAATGAGTTTTCGTGAGGAGTATTATGAAAACTTTAAAATTTTATAATAAATTTGTGAATTTATCAAATTAAAAAATAAATTTAAATAATATTGGAATTACAATTATATTATAATCTTATTATTATTTATATCATGCCTTCAAACACGGGCATATGCTAATTTTTTATTTAGTAAAAGATGTTTTAATAAACACATTTTTCTCAATTTTTTAAAGGGAAATATTACAACAATGGGGTTTCAAAAAAATAATTACAAATTAATGAATTTTTTTTATTAATAATTAAAATTATAAACTTTTTCATGTATATGTAATTTTATTTATTTATTTATTTATTTGTTTTTGATACTTTTGGACTGTAATATGCCTGCATTTTGCTGTTACAGATCACCCTCTCAAAAGGTTTCCCTTACAAGTTGAGTGACAGGAATTGGTTCCTACACATTACCATCATTAGATTACATTGCAAGTTATAGTAGCTATCGACAAAAAAAAAAAAAAAAACCCAAAAAAAAAAAATACAAAAAAACAAGACAAAACAAAACAAAACAACATAGAAAATGATAAAGAGCCCTTAAATACGTTTGATCAATGATTATATGTAAGAACTCTACCTTGCCTTAATTAGCTTCAAACACCTTATTTCATAATTGCAAGCGTATAAATAATCAACATATGGTTTTCATATAAATTGAAAAGAGCTCGATTTGCCTCTAGTTCAACTATGAAATGGACACCTACCCAAAAAAAAAACTATGAAATGGACCGAACAATCCAAGTACTAAATCGGCATTCTGTGACAAGCAGATAGTCTGCATTTATCCATATCTAATCACACTTGCCAACATCTTTTGAGTCAACCTATAAAGACCCAATATTGAGCATGAGTGAGTAAAGACAATTCACATTTTTGTTTGCCACAACATTCGGTAAACTCGGACTACTTAGTCCAGTTCAAATTCAACCTTGAGACGAGCATTTGCAATTGAAAACTAATTGGATTATTGATACATTGCGTTGTAGTCACATCAGACTGCACAACCTCTGGTGACGAGGAAAAGTTTGCAAGCTGGGAGAGGTGACAAAGGTTCCATTCAACCGCTAATTTAGCTTAAAATAGGAAAATTAAAAGAACAATAATGTTTAAAAAAAGAAGAAGAAAAGAATATCTTGCGTTTCTGATTAATGTGCACGAGCAAAGTTCTCAATCAATTCTGAGAATATGACAAATCCTGCACCTCCAATCACGAGCGAAAGGGTGAGTTTTCCTCCAGGAACCAACAAGGGTAGTTTCGATGACGACTCAGATGAATTTGAGTACCTATCTGACCAAGCCATTGCAGCAGGAAGAATTCCAAACAGTACTAGCACTACAAAGAGAAGATGAAACAAAGTGAGAGAGATTTTAAAAAAATAATAATACATGGTTTAAAAGAAACTATTTTGCATCTGATTGCAACATATGCAAGGCAGTAATCAATTCACCAACTTGTACAGTTGGCCTGTCGTTCAACCTTTTGGATGATAGATTTCTGAAGTAAGTGAAGTTCAATTATAGAATACCTCCATATGTTCCGGCAAAATCCAATGCTTTGAAGAATATATCTGGGTCAAGCAACGACAATATGAGTGGCGGAATCAAAGTGAGTAGATACGGCAGAGGCTTGTTTTGGCCAGATGGGAGTTTCAGCACTGCAAATTTACCAATTGGTTAAAAAATTGCTATAAAAAAACTTGCTTTTCCCTTGAACAAAGGAAACATTTATATAAACATGTATTCAGCTCACAATATCGTCATCAATAATGGTTGTAATCAACCCAAACCATCATCAACTACAAATTTAACATATATAAGAAAGCATATGCTGTGTTGCTAAACTTCGTTTTTTCTTGAACAAAGTAGACATTTATTTAATGATTCAGCTACACACCAAAAAATATATATATATATATATATTGTCATCAACTAATGATTACATATTACTTGTTAATAGGACAAGCTTCCACTCTAAGTTTAACAACTCGGGTACTTGCTAACATGTCCACTTCTATTTGTCTCTGAATTTTGAGGAAAAACACTAGTAAAAGTATTTTTACTAAAAAACCCTCTTAATGTTTTTCCACAATCTTTCATTTGGAATGCACTGATGCACGAGGGCACTGATTATCATTCATGTGTCTAATTTTTAACTCGACTATCATGTAAAGTTCTCTATTGTGACATTTGCAATCATGCAAGGAATTGTAAGTGCATAAATGCACACACTTACATACCATGTCCTCGTACTCCGACCATAAAGTGGTTGGTACCAAACTGGTTCATAATCTCATTTGAGAAGGAACCTTGTGTTCTCTTATAACAGCTCTCTAACCTATTCAGCCACAACAAAAAGCTGATAGTTGAGGTGATGTAAACCATATCAGGAATAGAAAACAAAATGTTTGGACATTATGTTAGGTGTTGTTTGCTGACGTTTATGGTTTACTATTTTTAGTGTATACAGAAAACATTTAACATGTTTGTGTTTGTTTTTGGTGAGAAACGAAAACAAAAAACATGTTTTATATACACGTATGTTAAAAACTTGTTTTGAAAACAAATGAAGGGTGGCCGAAGGTGGTTATTGATGATCAGAGATGGTGGCCGGAGGTGGTTGTTGACCGCCAAAGGTGCTAATCATAGGTGGTTGACGGCCACTAAATGTGGTGGCTGGAGGTGGTTTTCGATGAGAGGTGGTGAATGAAGGTAGTTGCTTGCCGGTGGAAGGTGGTTGGAGTTGCTTGAAAGTAGTGGTCAACTATGATGTTCCGAGTCCTTTTAAAGCAATTTGAGTGTATTAATCTGTAATTTTTGGAGTGAATCTGGGAATGGTGGGAAGGCTTTAGGGTTGTTTTGTCTCACCTTTGAGTTGAGACCGCTCGAGCAGTACTTTCGTTGCTCGAGCAGTAACGTCGACTTTCCAGTATCTCATTTTGCAGTTTGAACTCCTAGGAGTTTGTATTCTTTGCTCGAGCGAAGGTTTCGTTGCTCAAGCGGTCTTTTGCAGGGAGGAGGGAGATTCTGGGAGTTTGAATTATTCGCTTGAGTGCAGGTTTAGTCGCTCGAGCGATTTGTCCGCAATCTGCTCCAAAAATTTGTCCAATCACTTAAAAGTTGGACCCTTACACCCTTTTCTTTCACTTTTCACTTCACTCACTCTCTCTCTCTACATTACACTTTCCCTCTTTTCTCTCATCTCTCTCTCTAGAAACCCTTCCAGGCACCTAATTTATTTCTTTGATCTAACCAAATCCATTGGGTTTTTGACCCTAGTGCCTTCATTATTATTGGAGAGCTTATCAAGAGCAACATTGTGTGTGGTGGAGATCAATTTTCGACGCCATTGATTTTGGAACTTTTCTCACATTTTCATTCCAAATCTTAAGGTAGGGAGTCTTTGAGTTATATATATGATTTTAGCAAGACTAGCCTCTTTTTTTTTTTTTTTTTGGATTTGAATGTAGGGTTTGGGTTTTGTAGTGCGGATTTTGAAAATGTTAAAGAAAATGGCTTCCTTGTGAGAATGTTCAAATTAAAAATATTTTATGAAATCGTAAAACTCTTGGGAGTACCTTGTTAGGAGATTCCATGAAAAATGAAGGAAAAACCTTATTGGATCAAACACTAGTTTTGAAGAAATTTGGGGCAAAGTAGATTTTGTGAGATATCCATGAAATTGTTGTTAAATTTCTCATGAATTGAAAGAACCCTCCTTGTGTTGATTGTGTAGTAGAGATATCCATGGAATGAATAAATGTTGTTGGAAAATGTTGAAGATTTTGAAATAGTATAAATGAGACTATGAAATGAATATTGATTGTGAACACGAAATGGCATAAATGTCACATGGATTTGTATTTTGTCATGATTTGGGGAACTATTGAACACTAGAAGTTCACTTGAATAAGTGTTGACAATCATGAAAATATTGCACAAATGAAATACATATATGTAGTTACCTTTCATTTCACTCGTTTGCATCGTTTTGAATATTGTTCATTTACGGTTAGGCCTTGGAAATTAATTCATTGTTTCGAGAAAATTGTTGTTTTGGTATAAATATGTGTGGTAAGTCCAGATGGGAAGTGTAGTTGGTATTGTTCAAGTTGGCCTGAGTGTGCAGAGTGAAAGGCCGAAAACACGCGCGAAGGAAGTACCACATGCCTTCCGGTTAGGAGCCGGTAAAGTGGGGGATTGGTAGTGCTTGTTATGCCTACTTGTAGACACTAGCCTAGGGATTACTTGAGTAGTATTTACCATCCCATTGTCATTTTTTGAATTTCTTGGAGAAAATGAACTTTTCGAAAGAAACATTGCTTGTGTTTCAAAAGAAATGGAAAATTTTTACATTTGAATATGACATGGCATTGCATTCACGTATATGAGATTGCTTAAACATATATACTTTGTTAAGATATCTTTACTAGGCTTTGTGCTCACCCCTGGTGGATTTGTGCAGCAAAAGATGTAATGATCCCGCCTAGTTGAAGGTGTGGAACGTCTTGAGAGCAAGAGACTCTCTCTCCCCTTTTGTGATCTTATGGCAAGCCAAGGGCTTAATGTGTAGGGGTTTGATAACCTTTTTGTATAACCAAAAGTAAGCCTTAGAACTTGTAGCCCTTGGGCATTTACTTTGCTATTATTTCTTTTACTTTTATATTATTACACATGCTATGGTTTCAACCTTTTAGGAGATTGAATATGTATTGCATGTGAACACTTTTGTATACCTCAGGAATGAAATACAAACTGAGAGAATTGATTAATCATAGTAGGATCGTCTAGTGAATGAAATCATCATGTCTATTTTATGTCTATTATTTAGGGGCGTTACATCAACAGTTGAAGATGGTGGCTATAGGTGGTTGTTAACCGCCAGAGTAAATCACCAAAAGTGGTGCATGAAGGTGGTGTCTATCAAGAGGTGGTGGCTGAAAGTGATTGTCACTAGTGGGAGTCGGTTGGCGGCGACTGTAGGAGGTGGTGGTTGGAGGTGGTTTTTGGAAAATGTCACTTTCAGCGGGGATGGTGATGATAAGTGACGGATGATGGTTACAGAGGGTGGGAAGAGGAAGAGGAAATGATTTTTTTCTTTCTTTTTCTTTTTCTTTTTCTTTTTTTAAACAAATGATCTTTTAGTAAATTTTGTAACCTATTTATAAATTTTAAAAATGAAAATAGACAACAAATGATGTTTTTATTTTTTTATAGTTTTCAATTTTTTTTTTTATTTATTTGTAAATATAAACAGAATATGTAAAGCATAAACATTACAGTTAGAATGTAAAAAGATGGAATTTAGGGTTGGGATTTAAGAAGAAGAAGAAGAAGAAGAAGAGAGAAATTTTATATATATTGAATAATCATTGTCCCGCAACTTTACATCAGTCAAATATATATAGAAACTCTAATATAGTAATATGACCATTGTACGCTCAACTTACATAAATATTAACAAGAGAACAAAAGAACAAAATAAGCATTCTAACACTCCCCCTCAAGCTAGAGTATAGAGATCGAACATGCCCAGCTTGACAAATAAACAATGAAACGAAGGCCGAGCCAAAGGCTTGGTTAGAATATCACCCAATTGATCTGCAGAACGAACATAAGGAGTCACAAGTTGCTTGCGGAGTAAGAGATCACAAATAAAATGGAAATCAACTTCTATATGTTTAGTGCGTTCATGAAACACATGATTATTAGCAATGAAAATAGCAGTCTGATTGTCACAAGACATGCTCATAGGAGTGGGAACAGAGAAGCCAAAATCTTGAAGAGACTGAATCCAAAGCAACTCATAAGCAGTATGAGCCATGGCATGACACTTAGCCTTGGCACTAGAACGAGCAACAACAGTCTGTTTCTTGCTACGCCAAGTAACAAGAGTACCACCAACAAAAGTACAATAGCCCGAGGTGGAACGTCGGTCAGTCTTATTACCAACTCAATCAGCATCACTGAAGCCAGTGACAGACAAAGAGGAAGATGGGCGATAGAGCAAACCCCAACCTGGAGCACTTTTCAAGTATTGCAAGATACGACACAGACACAAAATGGGATTGGCGGGAAGCATGCATAAACTAACTAACCACACCCATGACATAGGTAATATCTGGACGACTGACAGTGAGATATATTAACTTCTCAGCTAACCGACGATAATGACCAATATCGGCTTATAAGTCTCCAGTCACCATCAAGCTTGACACTAGAAGCCATGGGAGTATCATTGGGCCGAGTGCCTAAGAGGCCAGTCTCAGTAAGAAGATCAAGAGCATACTTCCGTTGAGAAAAAAACAAGCCCTGAGAAGAGCGGACAACTTCAATCCCAAAAAAATACCGAAGATGGCCCAAGTCTTTGGTGTGAAATTGTTATCCCAAATACTGCTTCAAATCAGCAACACCATTGGAGTCACTCCCTGAAATGATGATGTCATCCACATAGACAATAAGAACAAACCTACCAGTAAACGAGTGGCGAACAAAAACAAAGTGATTAAAGATGGAACGGTGAAATCCATAAGCAAGCACAACAACACTGAAGCGATCAAACCAAGCACGAGGGGACTGCAAATCAAATCTTTGTTTCATTAAAAACAACCAAGTCATCCGAGAGTAATCATCCACAAAAATAACAAAATAAAAGAAA